GGCCACAGCAGCGCCGGGTGTGGGGAGCAGAGGAGAGGGCTTTCAGGAGACAAAGGCTCTGCCTGGGGGCCGTGGGCGTGGGCCGGCGCCTCCAGGGTCTTTGTAAGAACACGTGCATCTCACGGTAGTGGGTCTTTTATGGATTTGGGTTCAGAAGCCAGCATCTGCCTGTGCCTTTGTGTGTGTGTGGCTTTGCATGGCTGTCTCGCGCCAGTGTCCCCGTTTTTCACAGCCTCCGTTTGGTCGTGAGGGCCGGTGGGCTCTCCACGTGTGTCCGCATACGTGGTCTGTGCCTGTCGACGTGTCTGGGTTGGGTGTCCGTGGGGCATGTGTGCGCGCTAGGGCCTGGGCTGTCCCGACTCCCCGCTCCCCTGCTGTCCACCGTTTCCCCCTACTTGGCTTCAAACTTTTCTCCGGGTTCCTCCAGCAACGCCTGCTGGCAGCCCTCCTCTCTCTCACCTCCGGAGGTCCTTCAAGCTGCGAGGGGGAGGGACAGGATTGGTGGGTCGGGGGTAATCCCAGTGCCTGGCGACTGGCCCGGGCCAGGACTGGGCGGAGCGTGCTGGACACCCTCACAGGACCCTAGAGGGAGGAGGGAGGGACGCGCCTGGTCTGGGCTCCGGCCTGAGGCTGGAGACTCAGGAGTAGCGCGTTGCTGGCAGTTGCCTGCCTTCCGCTTCTGGGACAGAGTGTGGACCGAGAAACCTGCCAGCTTGGTGGAGAGACTTGTTTGGTTTTGAGTATCCCTCTGCATTTACCCGAACCCCAGAGTGAGGGGACCAACCTTCCGATCCAATAGGTGAGAAAGGCCACGGCTTGCCTGCCTCCGGCCTGCTCTCGATCCCTAGTCCCGGTTAGGTTGTGGGGAGAGCGGAGGCTTGCACACACTAGTTTCCAACTGGATAGTTAGTGACCCACGGTAGGGCAAGGAGCGTGTTGCTCAGCCCCGTTGAGATTTAGTCACGGTTTGGATGGGGTGAGAACTCCTCGCTGCCGCTGCCGCTTGAGCGGAGCGCGCAGTGGTAGTGACCAGCATCCGGAGCTTAGTTAAGAGCAGCACCCACCCACACTTGGCCGGGCCCAGAGGTGACTCAAACTTAGATCCTTCCTTGCTCCATGCCATCCTTTGGTATAAGTCTAGACTTGCAAAGGCCCCGGAGTGGGAGGGGCTCCGTCCTGTCTCAGCTTTTGATCCTGGGTGGCAAAGATAAGCCAAATACTTCTTTTCCAGCCCTCCACCCCAATCTTTAACCAAGAACTTTGCCCAGTACTATGTGGGGGGAGGGAGGGAGTAAGATGGCCACCAACTTGGAAAAAGAGAGACAAGGATGGCCAATTTCCTTTTCGTTTCTAGTCCTTCCTTTTGAAAGAATGAATCTAGACACCCTTGTGATCACCCCTTGTGATCCCAGAGCCTGGAAACTATTGTGTTGCCAGGAATTAATTTGTTCCTAGGAAGAGAAGGCTGGAATGCACCATCCTGGGGAACTTGAGTCCACAGGGCTTCCACCCACCCTGTTCCACTGACCCATGAAAGGCAAAAAGCTGATGTTACTTATCTTTCACATGACAGACTGGTCAAGAGACAGAGTCCAGACCAGTATTCTTAATCATTACTTCTGGCACAAAGCAGAGCGATGTGATTGGGTGAGTTCACCATCCTTTCTCAGGGATTTGGGATACTTCCAGAGATCGCTGAGCCCACCCTGGAAGTCCCCTGCCAAAGCAGGTTCCATAGGAGGGACCATGGGGTGGGACATGGTGGAGCAAATGACTCTGCTTAGGGTTTTGAAGTTTTCCAGTACACAGCAGAGCCAGGAAGGGCCTCCCACAATACATGCAGGGCTCTGTGTTCTGGAAACAGCACACAGGTGGTTTGTCTTTGTGTCAGGGTGCAAGGTTTGGGTGTTGAGGATAGGAGCTACTCAGAGGCTGGAAGGGGAGGCAGAGGCTGAATCAGTGAGTATCCGTTTGAGCTGGAGTTTGAGACTGTATGCAGAGAGCTGCTGGAGGAAAGGGTGGCGTTGGTCATTCCAAAGCCGTCCTATGGCTTTTGGATGGTGCTGGGGCCTGGGGGATCTATCTGAAGACAAGATACTTCATGTCTTCATTCAAAATGTCTGGGAGCCCTACTCTGGGACACTGTGTCATTCACCTGTCTGAAGTTCTTAGCCTCCTTCAAATGGAGTTACTGATTGATGTGTTGTGAATGTTAAGTAGCATGACAGATCACTGCATGAACTAATAAATTGAGATGCTTTCAGGGTGTCTGATTATATTGTGTGAACACAGTGGAGGCAGAAAGAGCATGGACTCCGATCTTAAACCTGGTTTTACCACTAGCCAATCTCTGAGTTCTAGGAGCACCCAAGCAAAAGGAGGCATCTCTGCCCTGACATTTTACTCCTCTAGGTACCCCCACCCCATGCTAATATCTACAACAGAGCAGGACACATGCTTAGACAGCTACAGCCCAGTGATCCTTTGGGGGATGAGGGCCAAGTTAGGCTGGGAAGGCCTCATAGAACAGGTAGCTTTTTAATCAAACAAGTAAGAGTTTGTGGAAGACAAAAGTGGCAGGGGCGGGGGGCAGGGGGGCTTTGTCATCATTGTCAAAACAAATAGCCTATACAAAGGCAGAGGTCACTGGGGAGTGATAGGCATCTAGCCTGAGAGGCTGTCTTTGTGGAATGGGTTTTAGATGGGGCACAATGGTGGGGTCTTGGTCTTTGGTTGGAAGCTGTCTATATTCTGGTGCCCAGCATGGTGGTTATTTAGTGCTATAGCAGTGTTTAGAGGTGGAGACCAGAGGCTAGGTGGCTACAGAGGTCTCCTGAGTTTGACCAAGTAGGGTGAAGTGGCTGCCCAGGAAAAGACAGTGACCTACTTGCCCAGGAGTGACTGCTGTTATGATGCCAAATTCTCTTTTGACCATAGGCAGCACTACTGCTTCCAACTCCTCTGGCCTCTGTGACCTTTCCAGATCCCAGGGTAACTTGGTCAGTGCCCTGGATGGGACATTGACAGATTCCAGGCCTCCAAGGATGGCTTTTGGGCTTTCCATCCTGTGTGTTTTAGCATCTCTTCTCTGACCCTTCGGTCACCCACAGAGGCAGGACTGAACAGGACTGAACATGAGACCCACTGGTGCCATCAAGCTGAGTCCTTGCTTCCCCTAAGTAATCAGATCAGGGTCCAAGTGGGAGCAGCACCAGGCTTCCCTCCATGTCACAGAACCAACTCTGTCCTCACAGTCAATGGAACCCTGAAAGGTTGGTGTCCAGTCTGAAAAACCTTTCTTCTGCCCCATGCAGCCTCTCCCTGTGTTCTCATGTGCTGTTTCAGATTGGTGGGAGCTTGACTTTTTTTTCCAAAGATCAACTGGAAGGAGAAAATAGCGGTTGAGGCCTTGTCTATATCCTTGTAGATGATACTCTTTGGGTGGGAGGTTGCTGAACTTCCAGTCCCCACCTGTACCAAAGATGTCATGAAGGAAGCCATGAAGGAAGGTGCTAGCTTCAGAATTCTTGGGTCCAGCCTTTGTCTCCTCATTGGCCCTGGTGACCCTGGACAAATCATTGAACCTCTCTAGATACTTTAAACAGCTGTAAGACTAGTGCAATACCATCTAACTTCCTGGTTTTGCAGGACAGGCTGAGGTGTCTTTTGGTGACAGCATTGCCATCTATGTGCCTGCTATATCTTTTAGACTTTTTTATTTGGTTGATTGGTTGCTTCTTTGTTTTGAAACAGGGTCTTACTATATAGCCCCAGCTTCCATGGAACTCACTATGTGAACCAGACTGGCCTCGAACTCACAGATAGCCTCCTCCTACTGTCTCTCAAGTCCTGGGATTAAAGGCATGTGCACCACTACACCCGGCCAATACCTGGTATATCTTAATATAGTATCTGATTCAGAGGGAAAAAAATAAAAAAACCCTAACTCCCCCTCCCTGCCCACAGAGGACAGACAGGTAAACATGTCATTACAGCCCAGCATTACCAGTTCTAAGTGCCTGTCCACACTCCCTGTTTCTAAGTTGAGGCCAAGTGTGGGTTTGGAGCTAACATGTCTAGGTCTGGTTCCTCTGTTACCTGGCTGAATAGCATGCTGCTGTTTACCTGTGCAATGGGGATAATAATCCCCACAGTTAAGGACTGTTGTGAAGCAGCAGTGACTCGAGCGGGGAGCTGATGTGCTTGCAATATCGATCCAGTAGAGAAAGCCAGCCCTGGAGGCTCTGAGTGTGTCCCCAAAATTCTAGGTCTAATTTCCAGAGCTAAGTGGTTGGTGGGCAGGATGCTTTGAAATTTCTCCCCGTGGATTTCATTGCTATCGGTGTGCTCATGACTGAATGGAGTGAGATGCAGGAATGGCTGGCTGATACAAAGGCCCATCCTAGGTGGGTGCTGGGCACTGGACCAACCTGAAACTGTCCCCCGGCCCACCTGGCTCCTGTGCCAGAGGTTTCATGTTGAAGCTAGGAAGTTTTGTAGGTTAGAAATGTTATGTCACTGTGTGCTCTGGCAAGCAGGCCCAGGAGGTGCCTGGACTCCAGCCTCTAGTCCCAGAGAGATATCTACAGAAGAGATGGGTGGTGGGGGCCTCGCTAGCAGACACCAGCAGTATGTCTGAGAGGTCAGTGTGAACCAGGGATCTGCTGGGTGTCTGGCTCTGCCTGTAGGAAGCTGGGTGGAAAGAGACATGAAGATAAACCTCCAGGAAGTTGAGAAAATCATGACCACTGGGGACTAAGTCCTTACGAAGCAGAGTGCTTCATCACTGCGTCTTCCACAGCCCTCACTTCTTGTCCCTGGAGGACTCTGAGACTCCAGTAGGCAGGCCTGGATTCCCAGCCTGTCCCAAGTCTAATAGCCAAACCCACATGGCTTCTTGCTGAGTCTCTGTCACTGCCTCCTGCCACCAGGTCTGGCATCGACCCCAGTTAGGGAAGGAAACACAGGTTAAGAAGGAGATGCTCTGTCCCACGCTGCTCCCATCATGCTTCGCTTTATGGTTGAAATTTGAATTTTCTCAGTAGCCTCTAAAGGAGGCCTATTGGTAGCCTGAGGTGTGAGAGGCCAGGAGGGAGGGGTGGGGGAGAGCCTGTGGGGACAGAGACTGCTTTGTTCCACTGGCCAGGCAGGGACGGCCGGGTAGATGTGTGTGATGCAAGGAGCAGTGTGAGGTGGTGGGTCCCGGCAACTGGGCTTGACTCTGCCATTGCATTTCCATTACTGCCCACCCCTGGGCCTCAGTCACCCATCGTCTCCAAGGGTTCTGCAGCTCAAAAGCCTGGAATTCTCTGTGTTTGTGGATGGTGTGAACAACAGCGGACTGTTTAGAGAAGCTGCTACCCGGATGACAAAGAGGGTTCAATCCCTGTGGGGATTCAGGCAGGAAAGGGAGAATGGCATCTCCAACTTCCAGAGGCTTTGTGTCTGGGAGAAGATGATCTCTGTAGTTTTACAAACAATCCTGAGGGCAGTGATATGGCCAATTCTGTCTCATGGCAGATTTGGGATGTGACATGGAGAGAGCCTCTTGGAGCTGCCAGGCCCATAGTGTTCACACCATTCATGCTTGGCCTCACAAGTAGACAGCATACTTTTCCTTAGAGTCGATGTGGACTTGACATTGTGGGCTCTAAATAGCTCATGGCTGGCCTCACAGGATCTTCTGTCTTCCACACCAGAGCTCTGTGAAGTATCTTGCCTTGTTCTCTTGATCCTTGGATGTCTTTCATCTGCGGGGCAAGGTTTGTAGAAAAGATCTTCTCTTGACCTAGTGATCTCTCTCCTCCCCAGACATCCCTGGGTGGCTGCCCATCTGCATGTCTGCATTGCACTTTCTCCCAGAGTAGAGGTCCCAGACCGGAGGCTGGGCAATATCAGTACTGTTACACAGATGAGGAAATCAAACTCCTGGAAATAAAACTGAAAGTCTCAAAAGCTTAAGCCTCCTGGGTTCAAGATATTAATGTGTTTGCTGTGAATGGGGATGGGGCTCTGACATCCTCATGCACTCTCACCCTGACAAGGCTTAGCCCCATGCTTTGTGCTTTGTTCAGCTTTAAAATCCTGTAACTCTAGTGTTGGTACTAAACCTCTTATTGTGGAGACGGGAAACAGAGGTTCAGAGAGGATGATCTAGGGGTCCTGACTCCCCCGGTACTTGTCCTGACACAGTTGCTCTGTTGCTTTCTTATCAGCATCCTGGAGTATGGTGAAGCATGATGGGGGAGGGGGCACTCAGTCTGGCATCTAGTCTGGAGAGAGACAGCAGCTCACGCTGTGTATCTGTCAGTGTCTTGGCTGTACTGACCATGTCCCCTATAGGGGGACTTATCTCCAGTCCTTACAGAAGCTCTTTGAAGGACTGTCCTCCCCTTTCATCTTCCCTGTAGTGCACCCAAATCACAGATCAGCAAGTGACTCTTTGGATCTTTTAACGAGGATGGGACAGTTGGTCTCATTGGGCAAGGTCGAGGACTGTGTGAGAGAGGCTGGCTGTCACTTCCTACTAGAGTTCCCCAGGGCCTGAGTATGACAGCAGGGGCCCTGGGAGATGTTCATGGCACAGCAGAGCAAGGCTCTGGCCTGGTGCATAATCAGTCATGTTGCCCAGGTGGGACTGCACCTATACTCCTGCCCCCTTTATCTCAGCATGAGACATTCCAGGATGTGGTCACCTCTTCACAGACGCAGTGTGCAGGGCTTTTCGGACTGTGTGAGGCTGGCAGGACAGACATTGCTGTCCTGTGTGGAGTACAGGCTTGGGGCCTAGAAGAGAGAAACATCTGGGCTGTGTTTGCTTGGTGGGTTATATAAGCTAGCAAGCAGGAGAAGCAACTTGGCATTTTGTGGACACATTGTATAATCACCTCTGGGAACCAAAGGGTAATCCCAGGCCCTTTGTGGTGTTTGTTTAAACCCCCAGGCAGGGTGGGTAAGAGCAGATCTGCTTAGCTTGAGGGGGGCAGGGTGGGTAGGGTTAGTGGTAATGAACTCTTGAAGAGCTCCCTGGGGAAACAAAGGGGCCTGGAGCAACTTAATATTTTCTTCTTGGTGCAAACATTGGAACACTCTGTCCTGCCTTGGCTGGGACCAAGCCCAGGATGCACCTGGACAGGGTTTAACCCTTGAATTGGTCTCTGCAAAAGAAAGGGGTGGGCAAAAAGGCCCCAGGGTTGGGTAGTGGAGAAGAGCCCAACCCCACTTCTCCCTGGCTCAGGACAGAGCCAGCGTCCAGATCAAGTGGCTGCCCCTTTAAAGTTTCATGCAGGGCCGGTAATGCTACCCAGCTGCTCCCCTACCCCCAGTCTAGAAGGTGGGCAGGTCCTCCCCCCTCCCACTTTACCCTATTTTCTTCTCTGGAGGCCCACAGAAGGGAGACAGGCAGTAGTGAAGGCCACCCAATGAAGAGCCCTCTGTTTCCTGAATGACTGCCTAACAGGGTAGGGGCCCACTTAGAGGTCCTCACTGCATAACCCTCTGGTGTTCATGCTAAAACCACCCTGCCCCTGCACCGCAAGACTTTCAATAGACATGAACACAAACCTTGAGTATGCCTCAGGTGGACCAATGCAACCCTTAGATATGACAGCATACACATAGTGTCAGGAATATGTAATGGCTTCTGTTGTAATTTCACAGAAGGAACTGAGGTCCAGGATTGGGTGACTTGAGCTGTAACATATGTCTATGAGGTCTCCTCCTGAGCTCTGCTCTACTACTCACCAGGCCTTCTGGAGGCAGCAGACTGAGACAGAAGAACTGAGCAGGCCTAGGTCTAATTCCGCCCTGTTTTGTGCTAGTTTGGTAACAAGGCCCTTGTTCTCTGAGCCTCCATTTCTTCTTCTGCACACGGGGTAACAAGTCAGCTGCTTTTCACAGTTAAAAGGGGAGGGGGCAGAGAGGTGAGCCAGCTATTAGCTGGGAGTAGGGCACTGGCAAGAAAGCAGAGGCTTCGGGTGGCGGGTGTCCCACAAGCATTTCTGAGAGTCTAGACACTGGGTCTTTGAGTAAAGGGAAGATGCTACTGCAGAACCAGCTAAGGTGGAAGGGGTAAGGGCAGTCACTGCAAGAAGAGTGGGCTCAGCCCCTGCCATTGGCAGCAAAGGATCCTGGGCTCTTGCATCTACTCCACCTGGCACCACCATGCTTAGCTGTATCCATGCTTGTTCCCAGCCCTTCAAGGCTCAGTTCTCTCTTCTCAGATGGAGGACAGGACTCTGCCTTGTAGAGGGCAGAGTTGTGAGGATTAGAGGAGACCATGTTCTGAAGCAGTCAATACAGCACCCAGCCTGTGACATCTTTTCAGCCAAGGTGAATGAAGCCCCCCCCAACCCAACCCCTGTATTGTGAGCTCCTCTCTATCATACCTGGGTCTCCAGCAGCCTCTGAGCCCTGGATCAGCAGATATAGTAAAACCAGCCAAGAGACCATCTGTTCCAGGAGGTTTCACAGTAAGATGTCTGGGTACCCTTACTTCAATCAGAGCAGACTACTTGAATCTGATGCTCCCAGCTGGAAATCCACTCACCTGGCCTAATACCCTTAACCATGCAAAGGTGGAGACTGAGGCCAGAAAAAAACAAAAATAGGGACTAAGAGTTAGGGGTGTTCCAGAAGGCCAGGAGCTGTGATGACCCCCAGCTGCATCCCTGCATGTGTGCTGTGAACTACAGGTCAGGGTAAGAGTGTACGGTACACATACCAGCCCTCACCTGTGGCTCTCTTTTTAGGTGCCACCATGTTGTCCTCCCTGTTGGTGCTGCTCCTGGCCATAGGCAGAGGACAGACAACTCGGCCATGTTTTCCTGGATGCCAGTGTGAGGAAGAGACTTTTGGCCTCTTTGACAGTTTCAGCCTGACTCGAGTGGACTGCAGCAGCTTGGGCCCCCACATTGTGCCTGTGCCCATCCCTCTGGACACAGCCCATCTGGACCTGTCTTCCAACCGGCTAGAGACCGTGAATGAGTCAGTGCTGGCAGGGCCAGGCTATACCACACTGGCTGGCCTGGATCTCAGTCACAATCTGCTCACCAGCATCGTGCCCACTGCCTTCTCCCGCCTGCGTTACCTGGAGTCGCTCGACCTCAGCCACAATGGCCTGGCAGCCTTGCCAGCTGAGATTTTCACCAGCTCCTCCTTGAGTGACGTCAACCTCAGCCATAACCGACTACGGGAGGTCTCGATATCTGCCTTCTCTACCCACAGCCAGGGCCGGGCACTGCACGTAGACCTTTCCCACAACCTTATCCACCGCCTGCTCCCCCATCCAGCCAGGGCCAGTCTGCCTGTACCTACCATTCAGAGCCTGAATCTAGCCTGGAACCGGCTCCACACTGTGCCCGATCTCCGAGACCTTCCCCTGCGTTACCTGAGCCTGGATGGGAACCCTCTGGCCACCATCAACCCCGGTGCTTTCATGGGGATGGCAGGCCTCACCCACCTGTCACTGGCCAGCCTACAGAGTGTACTCCAGTTAGCACCCCATGGCTTCCGTGAGCTCCCAGGCCTGCAGGTCCTGGACTTGTCAGGCAACCCCAAGCTCAAGTGGGCAGGAGCTGAGGTGTTTTCAGGCCTGGGCTTGCTGCAGGAACTAGACCTGTCGGGTACCAGTCTGGTACCCGTACCTGAGATGCTGCTCCATCACCTCCCTGCTTTACAAAGTGTTAGTGTAGGCCAAGATGTGCAGTGCCGGCGCCTGGTGCGGGAGGGTGCATACCCTCGGCAACCTGGCTCCAGCCCTAAGGTAGTCCTACACTGTGGAGACACCCAGGAATTTGCAGCCAGGGGCCCAGACATCTTGTGACAAATGGTGTGGCCTGGAGCCACTTGACAGACTGCTGCCCTGGGCTTGCTCAGGTCCTGACTAACTTATATTTTAATATGCCAATGCCTGTGCAGAGTCTACAGGCCTAGGTGATGGCATCTCAGTAAAGTTGTGGGCCAGGGATAGCTTTCGTACCTGGGGCCTATACCCAGTAACAAAATCTACCCATTTGTCTCCATGGCTCATTTCCCAGAACTATGAGCAGAGGGACTTTGATGCCAAACCAGACTCTGGTCCCTTCCTGAGCCCTGCCCCAGTTGTCCCTAAGTGCCTTCCTTTTGCCTGGACTGACCTGACCATGATGAGAGAGGGTGGTAGGTGGGCGGGCAATACCATCACAGACGCTGCCTCGGGTCCTCTAGCTGACGGCTCCTTTGAGCTCAGTGTCTGGGCCTATGAGACCTATGAGGCCTACTTCTTCCTTTTCTCATGGAATCTTGGGTAGACTATTAAGTATAGAAGGACTTAGAAAATCAAATCCACCCTCCTTGGAGGACAGATGGGAGTATGGGACCAAGAGCAGCAAACGTGCTCACCTGGGGTCTTGGAGGTATGAAGAGCCAGCCTCCCGCTGAGATTGGGGGCTGTGTACTTTCCTCTCTGTCATCCTCTCCCCTTGCTGGATGACCTGTTACCATGGTCTGTACTTTTTCCCATTATGCCCAGTGGCAGCAACAACAGGGTCACAGAGGTCTAATGGCCAGCTTATGGTATGAGCAAAGTCATTCTACCTTTCAGAGCCTCAGGAAGCTTGAGATATATCAGTCCCAAGCCTGTCAGTTTCTTATTGTGGGGTGGGGAGTCCCCTAGCATCAAGACTGGAAACTTGCACATTTTCCCTAGAGACCCTGTTTCAAGATGCTTCCTAAGAGGTCAGTGCAATTGTGGCTATCTGGCTGTGAGCTCCAAGGGGACTTGTGGACTTGGTGTCCATGGGCCAGAGCCTAAAGACCCACTTAATCCTCCAGAAGTTTGGCAGAAAGAGACAGGGTTTCCCATCACATTATGGTTATCCCCTAGGTGACATCTCAGCTCTCTAGCCCTGGACTCTTTCCTTCATCTTCATTTTATAAGAGTCATTGCCTTTTCTTAATGAGCTGTCATTTTTAACCCTCACCTCTGCTGGCCGGGGATGGAGACGACGATAAATGTATTTGTTCACTTTTCTAAGACTGTTCTGGAAATATATTGGGGTTGTTGGGAAAGAAGCCGTCTGCTATCAGTGACCATGTGGGCACTGGGGCTGGCCCCAGGGATGCTCACAAGGCAGTGAGAGCTCTGTCTTCCCACACCGGCCCAGCCTAGCCCCTGATTGGTCCTTGGTTTAATAAATACATAGAAGAGTTTTTTCCATCCCATCATTGAACCAGAATTTGCTGATAATTGCTAAACTTCGATTGGGGCTACAAGAATAAATTAGACCCCACCTTGGGCAGCTTATTCTCCCTGAAAAGGCCAGGAATCTTCCAGAATCGGGTGTGTATGACAACATATGAGAGACAGTTACTTGGGTAGGCTAACCTCTCATATAGCCTGTACCCTGTTGACTTTCTTCACCCCCTAACATGTCACTTCACCTCCATCCACCATCCGTGCATCTTCAGCCCTGAGGCCCTGACACACCCTTGTGACAGTTCAGGCTGTAACTGTGAAACTCTGTCCTTGCCCTACTCCTCAACTCTTTCTCACCTAGGACATCCAGTTCCTAATGTGCCTTAGAAGTGTTCCCAAAGTCTCCCTCAACTCCCTTCTGTCAGCTTTGGCCATCATTGGCATTAAGCTGCTGTGGTACCCTAACTCCTGTTTGTATACTTCTAGTGATGGCACATTTCAGTGACAGCTCACTTCCAGCTTCGTGTGGGCTTTTTGTCAACAGGTTAGTTCTTCTGAGTGGGCAGCCTAGGGAGACATCCACCACCACCATCACCACCAACAGCCATCTGTTGCTGATGCTGCTCTGTGCCAGGCACTGCTCTAAGCTGGAGTCCCTACCCTGTGGGACACAACAGGATCCCTACCTAAAGAAAAGTCCAAAGTCAGTGAAAGCCTTATGGAGGACCTGCATAGCTCATGATGAGTAGACCAGAACAAGGAGGCCGGCACTTAGGAAAGGTCATGGGTGAGGGGTCAGTAGCACAGAGTCCAGAGTTTCTAGTTGATAATCTCCCATGGTGACCTTATTGGAAAGATTATCTAACTCCCTGGGTGAATGCCCATTGTTGGAATGTTCTGGACTTTGTGCAGAAAGAGCTGAGGCGGAAGGGTGCCATTCCCTAGATTTACTCAGGTGAAGAGGGAAGCCCTGTATACCAGGCAGGAAGCCTTCAAATGTAGGAGTGAGGGAAGTATGGTACTGTCACCCAATAGGCCTGGGCCCTCCCAAAGCCCTGCTTGTTGAACGCATTCTGTTTTTGAAACAAGCTCTCTATGAAGTCCTGTCCACACATGGGAATTTTAAAGATAGGGACAGAACCTGGGGTGTGGGGGGGGGAGGGATGTACAGACAGAGCTCAGCACTTAGGCTGCAACTGGAGCAGGGGCCAGTGGTGCACACCAGAGATGCCAGCACTCCTGAGGCAGAGCCACGACCATGACTCTTATGAAGGTCTGGGGCAGCAAGGTTGGAGGTGAGCCTGGGCTGCTTTAGACCCTGTCTCAGAAACAGTAACAAAAACAAAAAACAAGCCGGGTGGTGGTGGCACACCCCTTTAATCCCAGCACTCAGGAGGCAGAAGAGGCAGGCGGATCTCTGAGTTCGAGACGAGCCTGGTCTACAAGAGCTAGTTCCAGGACAGCCTCCAAAGCCTAAGAGAAACCCTGTCTCAAAAAACAAAACAAAACCAAAAAAAAAAGAAAGAAAATGAAATGAAAGAAATTAAAAATAAATAAAAAAATAAATAAAAATGGACCAGGGATGGACCTTCTGGGGTGAGGATGGGGGATCACAGACACCAAACTGCAGCCTCATCCTGTAACCTGAGACATCAGAACACTCAACATAGCCTTTCCCCTGTGGTGCTTCTGGGAGGCATCTGGCCCACAGCACCACCTGGTGGCCACACACCCCACACGACAGAGCAAGGCCGGGAATGCTGTTCTCTGCTTCCCACCATCCAGAAACACTCACAGGGTCTTCTCCTCCTTCTGGAGACCCAGACACCTAGGAGGAGGGCGTTAAAAATATTCAGTCCCCAATTTTATGCTAAGATTCTGTTTTGAAATCATAGGGCTCATCACAAAAAAATTCTGGATTCATCACAAACTAATGTGTGACTTACCTGAGCCTGAAAAGAAAAAAAACAAAAAAACAAAAAACGAGAGTTCACAAGAAGAGGGAATGAAGTCACGTTTGTGCAGAATCAAAAACTATGACAGTCACAAATTAAGGTGCCCAGAAGTGCCCTTTGTCCTCTCCTTACAACCACACCGAGTACTTTGTCACCATACAAATGAGGAAGCCAGCCCAAGGCTGGCTTCATCTGTCAGGTACCACATTCCCTCCTTGCCTATCACTGCTCATGAGTGGGACCACTACACTCAGAATCCAAGAGGAGGAGGGTGCTCTGAGACACCAAACACCATTAGATTAAAGCGGTTTTTTTTTCTCTTTTGCAAATTAGTCAGGGAGATTGCACAGCTAAGTAGATCCCGTTGGACCATGGAGTCTAGACCCTAGAGCAGAAAAGGCCAAGGTCAAAGTTATAGACTTTTCTCTTGGCCCCTTTCCACATATGTAAGACTGAGATCTAAAGGCACAGATTTGGGTGCCAGGGTTCTGTGCTGCAGAACTGGCTACACAATCTGTTGGACACAAGGTGCAATGCCCACTGGTGGGTCTGTTATTCAGAATGTTTAAGAATTTCAAGATGGCAAGCACAGGGCCCCTTTTTTTTCTGTAAAGAACTGGTTTAATGCTAAATAATCAGCAGCAAAAACAGGTCTCTTTCTTAACTACGTAACTTATGTTTTGTCTTTTTTTGTCATTCATAGAAATAAAAATAATGCAATACAAGTTAAATAATTCCTTCCCAAACATAGATTATTATTAATTTTCTACCACACAGGGCCCTTTTAAGGTCCCACAATCCATGAATCTCTTTCTGGGCTCTGATTGCCTCATTAGCAGAGAAAGCCAACAGCTTGCCTAGTGTTGAATAGGATGATAGAACACAGTGTGGTTCAAAGAGCCCATCGGGAGGAAGAGGCAAGAGGATCTCTGTGAGTTTGAGGCCAGCCTGGTCTCCAGAGTGAGTGCCAGGATAGGCTCCAAAGATACACAGAGAAACCCTGTCTCGAAAAAAAAAAAAAAAAAAAAAAAAAAAAAAAAAAAAAAAAGGAGCCCATTGGGATCTTCCAAACAGGAATTCCCCTCTCCAAGTAGCCACACTCCCACCCCCTGTTCCTCCATACTGCCATGGCCAAACAGCTCTCAGAAAGAGTGGCAGAGGCAGAAACTCCCATCTGAGTGCCATCAGACTAGTTTGCAGGCCACTTATTTGGACAAGACCACCAAGGATGTAAAAGGCAGTAGCTTTGTCACTTTGTGTGAAGTCCACTCATACCTAATCTTCCATGACAGTAGAGGTCATCGGAGGCTAATGTGGCCTAGCCCATCAAGGGTCAACATTCCTTCTTGGCTAACATGCACCGGGGAGAAAATGTTTATCCTATCAATAGTGAGTCCACTCATGGCCAGTATCTACAAATGGAAGGTGTCCAATGCAGGTCATGTCTGCCATATACTGCTTCCCAGTGTCCCAGGTAGCAATTGATACTATGCTCTGTGTTCAGCATGTCACATCTGTCCATTGTGTACCTTCCAGCAGCAGCAGCAGCAGCAGGGTGAGCATTCAGCTAAGTCATGTACCTCTGTTGGTTTTTCTTATTTATGTAAGTACTACTGATTGTATTTATGGAGACGACTGTGTTTGTTGAGCTTGGAGGGGGAATTCCTCCTGTGTTTAGTCTCTAATTCCCAACACTATTTGTCATTTTATTTCACATATTCCTTAGGCAAAATGTTCCAAACTGGGAAGAAAAGCATATGCCACGTTTCTTGGTGTATATATGTGTGTATCTATGCCATGTATACGATAATTATGGACATTGATACAGGAAGACACAGACAGAGGAAGAGATGCTGGTTGGAAACTTGAAGGATCAAGCTAAGAATGATTTTCTAATTAATGGATTCTTAGAAGCAGTGTCTAAGTGGAGTGATGAGTGAGGCCTTGACTGTCCTGCTAAGATGAAGGCTGCAAAGCCCCACTTTGAGCTTAAAATGAAAAAGCTGGGTTCCCTAATGAAGCAAAGCCAGTGACTTGGGACACCTCAGTAATAGCTCCTGGGATACAGAAGGCCATCTGGCCTTAAAATCTGGCACTGCTGAGTCCTGAGGAAAGAAGTCACCTACCCAGTCTTTTAGTCATAGTCTCTTGTCTGTAAAACAGAGATATGGTGGCTCCTCCTAGGAAAGTCATTGTGGGCAAACACTTAGCATGGTGCTTACAATGCAGCTAAATGCTACAGCCATGAAATATTATCTATATTTTCTTTTGAGTTCCCTCCGCATACACCTTGACTGGATAGATAAGCTTTTAAATGCTACAGCCATGAAATATTATCTATATTTTCTTTTGAGTTCCCTCTGCATACACCTTGACTGGATAGATAAGCTTTTTTTTTTCTTCTGCTCCTCCTCTTCTGGCTCCATTTTTTTTTTCTTAGGACTGTCAGCCCCCAGGGGAGATAACATGGGAAGAAATGCCATCCTTAGGGACTTTCCTGGTTGGGCTTGGGGGCTAGAGCTGACCCTAAGTGGGAAACCCTATCCTTTTCCTTTTGAAGAGTTTCACCTTGTGCCTGAAAATCGCCATTTCTCTTTGACTTAAGTGATGTCAGTTGCCAGAGGCTCCTCCATGATGGGCAAGGGCTCAGGAGTGTATTTCGGGATAGTGATGAAATGTCTGGGTAAGTCCACAAGTAGGACACATGATGCTTTGTGGGGCCAAAGAGGTGTCTGCCCCACTATCAAAGGGTGTTATTCCCTAGAGACACTTTCTAAGGTAAAAACACCAGAGACAAGAGGGCAAGGCCCACAAAGAAGGTGGTGGGAAGGCAGGGTCACATTCCTATACTGTCTCTCTACTATCAGTGAGATATCCTCATCAAACTAGTGTCCCAGGAAACCCAAGCTCTGGTATTCACAATGGGGCCTTCACACTCATCTTTAATCTGGGCTGAGCCTATGGCTTTGATTAGGACAGTGTATTTTTACTTTGTTTTGTTTTTTTTTCAAAAATTAAATTTATGTGTTTGTGTGTGTGCACACACATCAGAGGACAGTTTGCAAGAGTTG